AAAATCACAGTGCTATGCCACCAAAGCAGAACATGCAAAGCTGCAGCTACCATATCAGTCCTTCCTCCAGGCTTTCAGAAAGTAGTAACTTAGGGTCTGCTCTACAATCACTCGAATACCGCCGCTGGCTTGGCCATCTCCGCGGTAGTCAAAAACGGCGAGTCAAATGATTGCTAATGGAACAAACATGTAAGTCAGTCCTCCATTTCCATGCTTCTCAGCCATCTCCTGAGTACTACCACATCACCTCTGTTGACTCAGACATAAAATCTGGGAACTCACCTGGCCGACGATACTGAAAATATTTTTTTCTCCCCCTCTGTAAACCACAGAACAATTACAAGGCAACATTTTACAGCTTGCAGAACACAAAGACAGTTACAGAAGGTTTTGATTGCTTTGGGTCACCTGGGATTTAAATCCTATTACAGTCAGGTTCAAAATGATGTGACAGAGGTTTAAGTTTACATCGAGAGACACTTACAATGAGCTCCGAATCACGTCCCATGGAAATGACTGTTCTGTTTACTGTCCTCAATAGCTTTTCCATGATTATCTGGACATGTCGTTGTGTTGGCCCCTAAGGAAAAAGCATAAATCAGTGGTAACTAGATACAACAGACACCAATACAATTGAACTATTCATGCTTGCCTTTAAATCTGCCTGCCTTGAGAAAGTTAAACAAAACATCACTCTCTGCTGTTGATCAAAAGCATTAAATTACTCTCCCATTTCAACAAACACCATGCAAAGTCTGTTTCATTAATACATGTTACTGATAAATACACATGGACTGTTACAATTATGGAAATGAAAAGCAAGTCCCTGGAAATACAGCAAAGCCTATGACATTTATTTAACTACTAATCTTTTTTTTTTTTAAGTCATTTTTTGAAGTAATTTTTCTTGACATCAAAGTCTCACATGCAATGCCAAATCTGGGGGTCTACTCTGCAACACCTCAATTAAAAGAAAGAGTAAAGTAAAGCAAAACTATGTTCAAGGAATTTCAATTGTTTCAAATTAATATTTTTGTATTAGAAGTAATCTGCCACTATTTTTCAAAGAGTTGCATATTAAATGTTTAGTGCAACCAGCTCTTAAGAACAAGTTCAGAAACCTCATGCAGAATGACAGCTGCAGGAACTGAAGCCAAAAACAGATGACCACAAGAAAAACACACATGAGCTTTGCTCCTATCTTTAACTTTATGAACAGGCTGCTTCAGAGTTTTCACTGGTCTGAAGGAGAAGACTTCAAAAGGGGTCTGTGAGATGGAAAGGGAAACAATTCTATAGCCAGTATTTGCAAGCATTTCGCCAAACAATATTATCTAAATAAAGCAGCATCTTCATAGTGCTTCTTGACCATCAAACGTTCTGACGACCCATTTTCTTTCTTGCCCGTGGATCCATGTGATCACCACATCTTCTCACTGGATTATTCCTCATTGCCAAAGGCAGAATGGCACATAGGAAAAATGCGTTGACATGTTTGAAGAGCAATCCATCACGTATACACAGCAACCGACAGCGGCGCCCGGCAGCTCTCAGCCCAGCTCCTACCACTGCTGCAGCCCCCTCCCACTGAGCTCAGCCCCCGAGATGGTGGGGCTGCAAGGGAGTTGCTCCCAGGGAGAGAAACACAGGCAACTCAGAGTGACAGGAGCAGCTAAGCTGTCAAAACAAAACTCCTTTTTTTAAAATAACCCACTGTCTGCAGCTGTCACAGAACTACTTTAAAACAGAATCAAAATCAGAACACACCCAAAAAACAAGATGGTAGATACGATGAAAGTAGCTGACCCCTGAGGTTCTTTCCAACTACATTAGTGTTTGATTCTACATGGGATAGAAGGTTCAGGCAGCAGAATCATCAGAACATGCATCAATCATCGCAGCTCTCTGGCAAAGCACTATCATTTGCATATTTGGGTGAAGTCAAGAAAAGATGAAAAAGGGATTATTAGGCACCCTACAGATGGGCACAGCAGCCCAGGGCACTGCACAGGTTCTCATGCGGAACTCTCTCGTATGTTTGCATTCTGAATGGCCCACGAAGATGCTCAGAGGGCTGCAGCCCCTCTGCTATGGGGACAGGCTGAGAGAGTTGGGCTTGTTCAGCCTGGAGAAGGGAAGGCTCCCGGGAGACCTTATTGCAGCCTTCCAGTACCTGAAGGGACTACAAGGAAGCTGGGGGGGACTTTTTACAAGGGCCTGTAGTGACAGGACAAGGGGTAACAGGTTTAAATTGAAAGTGGGGAGGTTTAGATTGGAGATCAGGTTCAGATCAAGTTCTTCCCAGAGAGGGTGGGGAGCACTGGGACAGGTTGCCCAGAGAAGCTGTGGATGCCCCATCCCTGGAAGTGCCCAAGGCCAGGCTGGATGAGGCTTGGAGCAACCTGGTCTAGTGGAAGGTGTCCCTGCCCATGGCAGGAGGGTTGGAACTAGATGATCTTTAAGGTCCCTTCCCACCCAAACTATTCCATTATTCTATGAATGGGTAAGAAAACTACACTAGTTATGACATTCATGGAGAAGGTGCCACCTTCCAAATCAGGTTCTGTCTTACCAAGGTAGAAAATTCTACTACCTAGCTGGGAATGGCCTTTCAAAAAGCTAAACAAGTTTGTTGTGTCAATAAAAGTACATGTTCATACATTTATGTATTTTTATATATATATGTTTATAACTCATATATATCCCCTACCAGCTGGCCTAGCAGACCAGTATCAATACAACCTAAATGTGCATCTCCAAAACTGATCGTGGGAGATAAAACAAAACCCAAATATTTTCAACCTGGCAGCAGCCAGACACGTAAGGGAATGACTGAACTCCTAAGAATACCTATTTATTGACTTTCTGAGCAGTGTCTGAAAGGCATTATTGGGTAACACTGCTCTATTGGAAGTGCCAACAGTAAGAAACACCCTGAGACCTCAGGCAAAGCATCCTCATCACTCCTTACCTAAAAGGAAGACTTCAGAGACTGGTCAAGGGAAAGCAAACAAACAAAAAAGAAAATAAAATCTAAGCCTTCAGGAGTTACCTGCTTAATTCATTCTACTAAGAGCCATTTAAGTGCTAATTACCACAGATTGGTACAATACTAACCACATCTTTCTTGTAAAGCACTTCAAGGATGTTACTCAGCAACTGGCAACAAGCCTCCAAATCTTCTTGTCTTTCCAAGTGATACTTCAGCTGATCTGTCATCGTTGGCAGCAAGATTTCCCTGCAGTCTGCACACAAAACATAAGGTTACATGCACAGCTTTAAATAACTTTAAATAACACAGCGCTGCCTAAACAGCCAATCTGCTTCACTGCTTACGTAAGCCGAAAAACTTAGGAAAAAGATGATAAATTCCAGATTTCTAGTCACCTGCTTTTCAAACCAAAACATAAAACCTGCAGAAGTTATAAGCATGTGAAAAAGAAGTCATTAGGTTAAGAACACTTGGACAAGCACTACCCACCCTCCCCACACAAAGTACTTGAGTGGTCCCAATGACATTCATAGTGTCACAGAATGGTTTGGGTTGGAAGGGACCTTAAAGCCCCCCCACAGTGCCAACCCCCCTGCCATGGGCAGGGACACCTTCCACTGGACCAGGTTGCTCCAAGCCTCATCCAGCCTGGCCTTGGACACTTCCAGGGATGGGGCATCCACAACATCTCTGGGCAACCTGTTCCAGTGCCTCCCCACCCTCTCCGGGAAGAACTTCTTCCTGAGGTCCTATCTCAATCTCCCTCTTTTGGCTTAAACCTGTTACCCCTTATCCTGTTACTCCCTACCCTTTGAAAACGTCCCCCCTCCTCCTCAGGCACTGGAAGGGCCTCTAAGGTCTCCCCAGAACCTTCTCCAGGCTGAACAAGCCCAACTCTCTCAGCCTGTCCCCATAGCAGAGGGGCTCCAGCCCTCTGAGCATCTTCGTGGCCTCCTCTGGACTCGCTACAACAGGTCCATGTCCTTTTGATATTGGGGGCCCACAAAGCTAGACAGTTTTCCAGGTGGGGTCTCATGAGAGCAGAGTAGAGGGGGAGAATCCCCTCCCTCAGTCTCCTGACCAGGCTGCTCTGGATCCAGCCCAGGATACGGTTGGCTTTCTGGGCTGCCAGCACACACTGCCGGCTCATATTCAGCTTTTCATCCCCCAGTACCCCAAGTCCTTCTCCTCGGAGCTGCTCTCTATCCATTCTCCACCCAGCCTGTCCTTGTGCTTGGGATTTCCCCAACCCAGGTGCAGGACCTTGCACTTGGCCTTGTTGAACTCCATGAGGTTGGCAGTGGCCCACCTCTCCAGCCTGTCCAGGTCCCTCTGGATGCCATCCCTTCCCTCCAGCGTGTCGACCGCACCACACAGCTTGGGGTCGTCGGTAAACTTGCTGAGGATGCACTTGATCCCACCATCCATGTCACTGGCATGTTAAAGAGCACCAGTCACAATCCCAAGCCCTGAGAAACAGCGCTCATAACTGGTCTCCACTCAGACCTTGAGTCATTGACTACATCTTTGAGTGTGACCATCCAGCCAATTCCTTATCCACTGAGTGGTCCATCTGCCAAGTCCATGTCGCCCCAATTTAGAGACAAGACCTTAATTGTTGAGCTTCCCACTTGCTCAACTGGGTGAGTGTTGCCAAGGTTTACTGAACTTCCTTTACCCTACCTGCACTGGTTACCAATGCAGCACAGCCTCAGTGTATAAATACGATTCACTGAGATCATGGATGCTGTGCAGATTAGTGTGGAGCTGCATGCTACGGTCTTTCAGAGCTCAAAAAATGCTGTTGAAATACTTTATGCTGGTGTTCACACGTGGTTTCCCTAAGTCCTGTACAAGGCCAGTACTGGACTTGCAGAGGGAAGATGAGGAAAACTGACATGGAGTTAAATAATTCAGCACAACCTTTTGGTTCAAATCAAGAACATAAGGGAAATAAGATGAAGACTGATACTCCTAATAAACATATAACCTGAAAATTGCCTTACACAGGTGGAGTGCAGGGACCTGGGTCTAATCCTAACACTGGACCATCCTCCTTTTGCTTTAGCAGAGATGGCACAGCCAGAGACACCTGCCTTCTGCACAGTGGCATCAGCTGCAACCAACTACAGCACGAGCCTGAAGGCATGAATGTTTTATCCACAAAAGCAGGGAAGAGTGACTTTAAAACCCGTTAGCCTCCCCATTCCCAGCCCCCAGATAAATCCATGCCCAAAGGAGGGGAACTAGTGTTCTTGTTCAGAGCGTGACTTACTCTGGAAGAAGAGGCCATGATGAAATCACACAGTGCATACGCCAACAGCATAGTACTAACACACATTTGGGGTGTAAGAGAAAGGAGGGCAGGAAGGGACAAGGAAGAATTAACATTTTGGTGTTTTTCCATCTCCTCTAAATAATATTGTAGAACAGGAACAAAAGAAAAACATGAGACTTTCCCAGCTATTTTATCCTACTGGACACTGCTTCCCAAGTGCCTTTCCCTCCCGATCTGCCCAACTAACTCGTGCACATGGAGGAAGGTATGAGCTCTGCTTTGCCCAAAGGAAGGAGTGCTACATCTTGGTGCTAAAAGGGCTGGATTACCAAGCTGGCAGGTGACTTCTCATGGCAGTCACATGTGTAGGACAAAAAGCAGCACAGCTACACATGTATACACAGGTGAACCAAGCACCTTGAAAAACAATATTAATTGCAAGACACTGCTGTTTTCCTGACAGATGGACGTACACTGTAACAACGTGGGTCACTCCAAAAAACTGCCCTTGTACTATAAAGTCTACCTGGCAGATGATCTCTGAAAACACGACTGAAAAATCCCCTTTGTCAAATGCTACACTGGCTGTTGGCCTGTAATTATACAGAACCTGGGAAAACATGGATGAAGCTCTTGACAGCCACACAAAAGATAGAACACACTGACATTTTCTTTTAGTGATATTACTGAAATTGCTTGGACTTAATGGCATATGGATGACTCACAAGAGGAGGCCTCATGGCAGTCCTTAATGACTATATCATTGCTTAGAGATTATTTTCACACAAAAGCTGAAGTCCCTGGATCATTCAGAAATGCTCACGAGCACTCAATTAAGTCTTTATTTAAGCGGCTTTTAAGTAATTCTGGACCAGTAAGCATCACCAGCCTGACATCAAGAGCGCAAGTAACATACAGACCACAGCGGAAGGCACAAGGCTTAAACACGAAAACTGGAGATTTACCTCAGTTAGGAGGGGATGACCCCATATTGCAATGTGGAAGCACTTATTCAGAGTTCTATCTAACACTTTCCAGGGAAGCCAAGAAATCAACAGCTCAAAAGGAACGCTTTCAACACTAGGATGCCTTCTCATGGTAGCAGCAAAGTGCTCCTCAACAGGAGAAGCTCCTTCTGCCACCCAACATTTCCTTCATTGATCCACATTTCATTTCCATCCTTTTGCAGCGGACATAACAGACACCCAGGAGGTAGAGAACGAGCAAGTTGGTGCTGAGAAGCTACAGCAAATACCAGTAGCTCAAGAGATGATGATCTGCATCACCAAGAGACCATGACCCTGGCTTTGATTCACCACAACGAAGTACCTTTACTGTCTCCATCTTTCGCTGCAGAGGTGTCCACAGACAGACCGTGCACTTCTACTCTTGACCATCCTAGCAATTCCATCAGTATTCAGGAGATGCTGCACCACGGGTGCCACGATGTCAGTGCTGTAGAAGGTATTGCTATAGCAGAGCACCCAATTGCACATCATGCGCCCCACGTAGGTGCCAACTTCAAAATCCCTCTATAGTGAAAACTGTGGCTCCGCTGACACTTGGCTGGTTACAAGCATGGAATGGACAAGGCATTTTGGCACTGGTGATACTATGCAATTCAGGTACTAGAACCAGGTAACAGCTAGGAGGCGAGGGAGTATCAAGGATGAAGAAATCAATATTTCATCAATGGACGAGGCTTTGAGCAGCCTGGTCTAGTGGAAGGTGTCCCTGCCCATGGCAGGGGGGTTGGAACTACATGATCTTTCAGGTCCCTTCCAACCCAAACCATTCTGTGATGCTGTGAAGTCTGTGAATATATGCTATGGTATTGTGTTTTGCCATGCTGTGGAAAAACGGATACAGGCATTACAAACTCAGTGCGAAAGTGACAATTCATCTCACTTGAGTCTCAGTGATGGGCTCAAGAGGACTTGCTTCTACCACTAAAAAGAGTGGGAAACAGGACAGCTGAGACCATGATGGACTTGACAGGGAAACACACTCTGACCAAAGTCTGACAGAAAGCTCCAGCCAGTGCCATAAGGTCCAATGCAATGGACTTGAACTGCTCCCTACTGCCGCTTCAGGACTCCCAGGTCATCGGAGACCACAAGTGCAAGAAAGTGCTATAGTAGGAGCACCCCCACAGACTTACCCCTAATGGCACCTCCGCACAAAGGTCTAACGAAACCCCCCAGCCAGTGCCATAAGGTCCAATGCAATGGACTTGAACTGCTCCCTACTGCCGCTTCAGGACTCCCAGGTCATCGGAGACCACAGTCTTCCATCTCCTACAGTGCACGAAAGAGCTATAGTAGGAGCACCCCCACAGACTTACCCCTATGGCAAGATACACGGCACAAAGGCTGGAATCCTGCCACGACGGAGAATAAAAGTCACTGACATAAAAATAATCAATAAAAACCATGCTGTAATGCAGAAAAGAGAGCACTCCATCTCAAGAAACTGCTAGAGAGGAACTCCAACAGCAGCATCCTCCTTCTCCCTTGTAAGCTCGCACATGGAGGATGAGATATAAGTGTATAAGCACATCCAACTTGCAGTAGTTCAAGAGAAATATTCTTCAGTCTCAAGTGTCTCATGCAAGTACGTGTTCACTAGAAATGCACAAGTGGGCTCTCATTCAAAGAAACTACTTGGAAGAGTTAGTTTCTTCAATACGGAGTTCTATTTAATTGCTTCTTGGTCATTTCATCTCCAGATTTATAGCTCAAAAAAGAAGAATCATGGTGTGTTTGTTTAAATTTTTGCCTCAAGAAACAGACATTAGACCCTGCAATGTATTTACAAGGGGAAAAACACTTATCTATGACTTCGCCATATCGCCTCATACTCATTTCCATTAGGTAGCAGAGCAAGAAAGATCCAAATCTAACAACAGAGAATCATCTTCCTCATAAGTTTACTCTATGTGTTTACACCTATGTTATCCTAAATGTCTCCAGATA